TTTTTTTTTTTTTTTTTTTTTTTTTTTTTTGTTGCAAAGAGCACCTTGTTTGAAAGAAAAAAATCCAATTCAGAAATAAAAAAAAAAAATAATTCTGAATCAAAAAAGGGTCATGGAGTAAATTGGCTAATGCCACAGCAATGTTTTGAAGTGTGCCGTGATATTGCTGAAATCAGGTCAATGTGATTCCAAAACCCAGCACATATTTTTCAATTAAATATGAAAATAAGATTTCATACAATTCTTTTAAAATTTCGATCTATAGTTTTTTTCTTCAAATTTCTATTTGCAAACTATGTTCTTTACTCACGACAATAATGGATCAAAACTCACACCATACTTTGCTTGCAACAATAATTGAACAAAATTCACATCTTGCAGTTGACTATTCTGGAGAATGTGATCTGCAAGATGGAGTTGGAGATTGACAAAAGACTGTTAAAAAAAAAAAAAAAATCTGCAAATATAAAATAGGCTGATGAACAAATACATTCAGCAAAAATAAAACATGAAAAAAACATTGATTAAAAAAGGATGATTTAAAAAAGTAAAATTTGAGAAAAAAGCAAAGCTCTAAAAAGCTAAAAACATGGCATTTGTGGTTTGCTTTTTTTTTGCAAATTTCAATTCATGGAAAAAGGTTCCTTGCAAAAATAATGAACAGTTCTCTCTATATGAAGGAAGTGACCTTGCGCAAAGAAACAAGCTGCAGTTGCTTGATGATAATAGTTTGTTCATCTTATCGTAACCTTCTTAAAAATCCCCATTGTGGTTTTTTTTCTTCTATGACAAAAAGTTGCTTAATCAGATATTAAGATACTTAATTACTTTAGTCATATTGAATACAATAAGCCCTCATTGTTATTCTAATTAGCCGGCATCAGCGCTGGAAGCTTCTAGTTGCAGCTGTGTGTCATTTCCTGCATCATTTACTAATTTATTTAATCTCGTTGTAATTTCAACAGAGCAACATTGCAGGGATGTGAGCATGCTCTGTAAACACAGGAAATAGGGAGCTGTCAGATGTATGCATTTATCAGCATGTGCACATGGATGCTGTAAAAAAGGCCATGGTGACCGGCTCCCCCTGGTGGAGTATTATTCTTTTGCAATTCATTGCAGAATGCGTCAAGTCACCTCTCTACTGCTCCTCTCTGCATCCTTTCAGACCCATCAGGTGACTCGCAGGCAGACATGGCAGACGGCAGGCAGCCAGAGGACCACTGGACCGAGAACGGCCAGGAGCACGGCGAGAATGGCTACTCCTCCTACAGCTACAGGGAGAACGGCTACCATGGGGGAGCAGCTGCACAAGCTGGAGCAACAGGTGGGTGTCGGCTGTGTGCTAAAGCATGTCCATACAGAGCAGTGACATTGATTGGAGCCAGATGAGCCTGCCTCTGTGGCAAAGGACAATCAATCCCCTTTAGGCACCTAAACTAATCCTGTTGGACGCAGCACAGGGCATTCTACTGCAGCTGTGGTTATACCAGGGTTCCTTTCTACAGAGTGTCAGGGTCAAACCTTCCCCCATGAAAATATGAAATATTTAAATTCCACAGGGATGTATTAATAAGAGAACAGCATGAAGGATATAATGAAAGAGGAAAACGAAAAAGGACAGCAAATGATGGAAAGACACAAGGAAGTAAAGATGAATGGAAGACTAAGGAAAAGAAACTAAGTTATGAAAAGTAGGAAGTGATAAATATGAGACACAAATTTGAAAGAGGAAGGAAGGAAGGAAGGAAGGAAGGAAGGAAGGAAGGAAGG